TATATATATATATATATATATATATATATATATATATATATATATACTCAAGTGTGATGTGTTCTTAATATACCTTTTTATAGTTTTTTTTATATTAGCAAGCCAATGAGTGTAATTTTAGTGATATAATAAAATCAGTGTTAAAATTATAGGTGGCAAACATAATTTCTATTGATCACCCTGCTGGCACTGGATTCTCCTATGCAAAAAATCCAGAGTCTTATATAACAAACGATACATTATCGGCAATGCAAGCTTACCAATTTTTAAGGAAGGTAAAGTACTTTACTATTGAAAAAATTTACATTATCACTGATAGATACCTCCATGTATAGTTTTCAATGCTTACACATAGGTTCGATTTATTTCCTTGAAAATAGATACAAATTAACAAATATCAATTTTATCCGAACAGTGGCTTGATGATCATCCTAAGTTTTTCAAGAATCCATTATATGTTGGTGCTGATTCCTATGGTGGCTTATTGGTTCCAATGATTGTTCAAGAAATATATAAAGGTGTTTCTTAATATCCGACTAAATAAAGGTATTTCTTGAGAGAGCTCATGTCGAGATACATAATGTTTTGGCTTGTACTAAAATTGTAGGTAATGAAATTGGAGAAGAGCCACATATCAACATCAATGTATGTATGGATTAATCTATTTGATCAATGTAATTTGATATTTATTTATTAGTGTATAGATTATATTAGTTCCTTTAAATTGTAAAATGAAAAATTTATGCTTCTTAAGCTTGATTACATTGGATTTGATCACCATAGTGCTTGTAAATAATATTATGTAATCTTTACACGGATCACTATATTTGATATATGTTTTATTGCTTAGGGGTATGTTATTGGTAATCCTGTTACAGACACAAGTGCAGAATATAATTTAAGGATTCCATTTGCTCATCGTCTGGCACTCTTATCAAATACCATCTACAAGGTAAATTAGAATTATTGAGCTGTTTTATAATGCACTTAGTATGTGGATATCAGTTTCTAACAAAATTCTAGGCACATCTTGCACCCAATAACATTAAAAATATCTACATGAATTAAGTTGCTATCTTTTTGTAGTCAACAAAAAGAAATTGTCGAGGAGAGTACTTGAATGTGGATTCCAACAATAGTCTGTGTGTACATGATCTTAATGTAGTAGATAAGGTACATCATCTCGACTTCAAATTTAATAACTTGCTAATTAGTGACGTCATATCTCGAATCTATATTTCGTTTAATGGTTTCTTATTTTTGAAATATAGTGTCTCAAAAGAATTAAACAGGAAAACGTTTTAGAACCATATTGTGACCCTTTAATTACCTTGAAATCTTCTCGATCCGGGAGTGATTTAAGATCTATTGAGAAGCATTTTCAAATGGAAGAGTGTAATGTATTTCTCTCTCTCTCTCTCTCTCTCACACACACACACACACACACACACACACACACACACATATATATATATATATATATATATATATATATATATATATATATAAAAGTTGAATAGAAAACCATTATCAATTGTACTCAAGGAACCAATTATTTTTTAAGTTTTAGAGTTTATTCTTTATCGAAAAAAAACATTAAAAATATCTTAATTCATAACTTCACATTCTAAATGCTAAATACGTTTTTTGAATTCACCGTGTGAGTTTAGATTCACATTGTAAATCTGTACAGATTCACACTGTGAATTTGACAAAAAAAAATTAATTTTTTTTATCGAATTTGATATCATTGGAAAAAGTATAAAAAGTTATAAATTTTTGTATTTTTAGTTTTTTTTATAAAAATAAACTCTAAAAATTGAAGAAAAAAAATTGGTTCCTTGGTTTCATGGTTAATAAAGGTTCTCTATTGA